ATAAAAAGAAAATACTCAACATCTCCAAACGAAATAAAGCCATCACTCTGTCATAAAAGTCAATTCTGTGCTTTCTAGGATCAAAATAACAGTGGCCACAGCTACTTCTCATGGGCAAGCTGTTCATCTTTTGGTCCCCAAGTTCTTTCTTTACCCTGCATGCAGCTGGACAGGCCCTCCTGGCCCAAGTTAGACACCTCAAGGACCAGCAAACACATGGACATCCATAGCAACATCAGAGCCCAAGGTTGGGGCTCCAGCCTGTTCCTTAACATCTTTAAGACCAGTTGTCCCTCTGAATCAAGTGGAAAAGAAGTTTTAATTAGAGGGCCTTCAGTCATTTGATGAAGTCAAAGAACTATTGCTCAAAGTTCTGCTCTGTCCCGTGTTGTCTGTAAGAAATCACCCAGTGAATATTTCATAACAAGGTCTTAGAGCACAGTCTGTGGTTTCAGAGTTAGAAGAGCCCTCTTCACTAAAACTGCTCACATAAATCAGAGACCCAAATCCCCTTTCCAATCATTTTGTACTTTAGCTAACCTTTCATGCTGAGTGTTTAAGACAATAGAGGTAGTCAAGAATTAACTGTTTTGCTACTAAAACCAAGAAAAAAATCTAGTAAGAGTTACATTCAGGGACCTGGAAGCTATTGTTTCTTTCATGCATACACTGTCTGCTGGAGTGAATTAGGGTCTTTATGTGACTTCCTTTGGGAGCACAGGGAACTTTCTTCTCTGCAGGATGCACACTGGTTGGAGTCTAGTCTTGGGGTTCTTCATGGCCTCTCTGATCAAAAGGATGACTGATTTATGGATCTTTCAAAAGGATCCCTTTGGCCCTGATTTCTAATTGATCTTGAAGTGCAAGAACCAACTATTTATTGCCTGTCATTTTAGTCCTTCTGTCTTCCTAGGCCTCCAGACTTTGCTAGCTAAATACCCAAAAAGGCAACCTTTTAGTTTTAACTTTTGCGCAACATTTAAACAAAGCCAGGACAAAAAAACAAATTTTGATTTCCTTAAGGTTCAGTTTCATAAGCAGTTCAAAGATTGTGCATGATGGGATCCTATCTCTTAGTTAGAAGGGAAGGTTGGAGAAAACATATTAATCTCCTGGAGAATTTGACAGTAGGGACACCAGAGAGATGTATTCTGCATTGTTCTATCCAGGGGAAAGTGCCTTCATATAGAATCCCTTCTAGAATCACTGAAAAAGTTATTGACCAATTGATGGCACCCTGAGGAAACATCACTGAGATCCAACTCCAATGCACCCATAGGCTCCGTCATCTGCTCACTGCTGCACAATAGTGCCCAGGGGAACTACAACACTCATCTCGAATGCATTTCTACAGAAAATATCAAAAGGTACCCTGAGCGTCACCAAATTCAAGTTAACAAATTCCACCCAAGTCTATTATAAAAAAAAAAAAAAAAAATCAACCAACACTTTAGATATGTGAAAAACTGAAGAAGAGCAATAAAAAATGTTGTAACCTCTTGGGAGTTTTTAGTTTGCCAGTTCTTGTTAGGGTTCCAGAACAATCCATCCCCTCAGTGGGGCAATCGACAATTCTGGTCCCTAAAAAAGGCATGTGACAACCAGCAATCAAGAGGCCCACATGGCAAAGTCCCTAGTCAGGTGCCATTTGAAAAACAGGCAGAAAAAAACAAAATGCAGCTCTCTGCCCTGAACACCTTGGCAGGTAGGCTTTTGTTTTTTTACCTTCTAGTAACACCCTGGTGTCCTTCCTGCTGGAAAACTTCAGTTTCTTCAGAAACTCACCTCAGCCCTTCATGGTGGACAGCAGATTTCCATGAAAGGAAACAAGACCAACATTCCTCGCAGGAGGATGGGCGGGCTCATCTCAGCAAGCCTGACCTCTGACCCTGTAGACCGACAGCTGTGCTAATCACTCTGAAGTGATTAAAGAGTCCTCGTTTTTGCCCTCAAGAACTACAGCGGAGTACAGACGTCCCCAACAGCTGGAGCATGGCCAAGTCCACCCCTCTCAGCGTCCCCAAAATGTCCTTTTGATTGCAATGATTCCTGTTGACTCCCCACAGGTTCCCCCATTTAATGTGTGTCGAATGCCCGCCTACACCAGCTGAGATGGCTAATTCTCCAGCCTCCCATTCTTGACTTGTTTATCCTCGAAAATTAAAGTCAATGGGTAGCAAAGGGGAAGCTAGGAAACCTGTTTTACCACATTGGAACAATTCAGAGGGAAATTAAAAACTCAGGTAGAAAAGCAGATGCTCTGAGCTTCTCGGGGGGGGGGGGGGGGGGGGGGGGGGGACAGCAAGATTCCAAACGAGATTTGAAATGAGTGCGACAGCTCTATGCTCTCAATAAGTTTCAGATGCCTAGGCCGGAAGTTACAAATGTTATAATAGCCCTGAGCTCTCAGCAGGCTTCAGGGTGACAGCCAAAAGTCTGTTGGCAAGTATTACAGTTTGAAAGCTCTTGGGGGTCTTTGGGGTGCTAGCCGACATCCATCCCTGGCAGAGCAGTTCTGCACAGTGGCTGCTGACGGGGTAACAGGAGCGGCGCTTCTCCTGTCTCTGGCAGGTCTAAAAGGCTGGAGCTGTAGGTTTCCACAGGTCTGGAGCTGTGTATCATAGAGGTCGATAAATTCCCTTCTGCAGCCAAAATGTGTAGCCTTGGGGGCCGAGGGAGGAATGAGTCTCCCAGCCTCCAGCTGCAGGTAGAGTCCTAGAAACGGATCTGATCAAGTTCCCTTCCTGCCTGGGGCAGAAGCCCGCAGTCTGGCCAATTTATCTCCTCTCCCGCAATCCTTAGAGGCAGGCTTTTTCTCTGGAAAATGTCTAGGAGCCAAGTTTCTGGCCAGGTGCGGAGCCAGATGGGAGCAAAATTCCATCTTCAGGTTCCTGCATAGAGGAGGAGCATCTGGGGGCCAGGACACAGGTCAGAACCAGGAGAGTTCAGGAAGCCAGAATCCAGCCTGGCTGAGCACCTGGCTCCAAAAGCCTTCCTCCTCTCTCGCCTTCAAGTAACAATCTGTGAAGGCTGGTTTTCCAGATTTCTCCTCTACCACCCTGACCAGGTGCCTCCCGATTGACCAAATGTGTGTGCAAGAGAAATAAGACACAGTGGGGCCAAGTGGGAAAGAGCTGTCAAATCTAAGAGTTCGGAGAAGAACGCTGGGTCCAGCAAAAGTTCCCAGTCAAGTCTCATGGTCCGTTTCCTGCCATTGCTCTTCCTGTGAGGGTGTGTACAGTTAGGGCGAATGGTTTGCTTATTTGGTACATGTGTGGGGGAGGATAATTTTCCTACATTCCATATTTACATTATTTCCACCCCTCCTCCATTTCTCCTTTCATCTCTGGCCACAATTCTTCACAAACTCCCCACCACCTCTTTTCTTATTATTGATACACACCGTGGCAGTTGAAATGAAAATGACCCCCATAGGCGGTCATTTGGGAGGTCTTGTTAGAGTTGGGGTGGCTTTGCTGGAGGAAGTGTGTCACTAGAAGGTGGCTTTGTGGTCTCAGAAGCTAAAGCCTGGCCAGTGTGTAAAAGTCTCTTCCTGCTGCCTGCATATGCAGATGTAGAACACTCAACTACCCCTCCAGCATCATCGTATCTGCCTGCCATGCTTCCCACCATGAGGATAATGGACTAAACCGCTGAAGTGTAAGCCAGAGCCAATAAATGTTTTCCATTACAAGAGATGCTGTGGACATGGTGTCTCTACACAGCAATAAAGGGGTAACGAAGACACACACACACTAGATAGAAGATGATAGATAGATGATAGATAGATAGATGATAGATAGATAGATAGATAGATAGATAGATAGATAGATGATGGATGGATAATAGATGGAAAGAAAGAAAAGAAAGAAAGAGAGAGAGAGAAAGAAAGAAAGAAAGAAAGAGATACCACATGTATTTATAAAAATTCTAACAAGTCCATTTAGGGTTGCTTAACTGTTCATGTTTTTAGGGTTGACTGCTTCTGATTGGATAATATCAGGGAGCTCATCCCTGGAGCAAACCAATATTCCTTGTATCAGAAGCCATTGACTGCCTATAGCTCTTCATTTGGGGAGAGTCATATGGAATTTCCCCATCCATCACAGCATGAATGTCAACGGGTGTTATTCGTACACAGGTCTTATTTCGGCAAACATACTGTTGATATTTCACGGGTGCAGCTTACCTGCCTTGTCTAGAAAACACTATCTAGCAGCAGGCATCCTGATCCTCTGACTCTTACACTACTTCCTCCTCTTTCACCATTGCCCCTGAGCTTTAGGTGTAGGGGTTTCACTGCACTTAAGGTTGGGTGCTGCACACTGGTTTATTCTTTGCATTTTGACTAGCTGTGGATATCTGTAACCGTCTCCATGTGCTTCAAAGGGAAGCATCTTTAATGAGCGGTAAGAGCTATACAATCTGTGGGTATATAGCTAGAAGATACAGCATTTAGAAAAACGGCAGTAGAAGGTTCTCTTCTGGATTTGTGGCCTCACTAGCCCACTGGTTAGTGACTACATTGCAGTACCAGGCATGAATTCCCTTCAGTTAAACAGGGTCGAAGTCCAGTAAGACACATCCAGGATGTTTTCTTTTATTCACATCATTCCCAGACTGACTGGTGATAGTGAGCTGTGAATCTACAGGCCACCGTAAGGGACTCCTTGCCCTTGGGGTTTTGGGGCCATTTCTACCTTCATCATATTTGTGCCTGTTTCCTTATAATAAACTTCCAGGAGTGGAGTACCTAGTAAAGAGAGTGTGTGTTTGTCTACTATATGTTCTCTAGCACATATGGACAGTCCAGTCCATTCCTTTTTAACTATACACACACACACACACACACACACACACACACACACACACACACATATACAGATATATATACAATCATAAGATCCTGGCTACTATACAGCCTCCTGTGAGCTCAGTACGTCATTACAAAAGAAGTTCAAGTGAGGTCATTTGGGAAGTGTTGAAATGGTGGAAATTCCATGGCTATAACAAAAGCAAAAGAGAAGAAACTAGAGGGAAGGGTTGAGTATAAAGGCACCCAGCTGGTACAGGCGCACAGCCAGCAGCAGCTCCTCCTGCAGTTCTCTCCTGAGCCAGAGCTCCCCCTCCAGAACGACATGATGCTCAAGGTATTGTTAAATGGCTGTAGCTTGCCTAGACTGCTTCCCTGGTTTGGTTCTTCTTCTCTCAATCAGCTGGTCTTTAAAAAGTTATCCACTCTGCTGCAGAAATAACATTTTGACTTTCCTCGGAGTCTGGGCTGTATGTTAGTTCTCGTCTGTGTTTACGAATGAGAGACACGATCCCATTGCTTACTCCTAGCAAGGAAGTATGTGGTGATAAGCTCGCTGAATCTCAAGCTCTTGGTTTTATACATGCCTTCTGTGTGATCCAAATAGATTGCCTCTCCAATTATCTGTCGGCTGTCACATTCCCGTGGTCTCTGGGTAAGCTTGCTGAGTCAGAAGCCTCACTCACCGGACTGGCAGTTTAGAGAGGAAGGCATCATGAATTCACAAGAGCTCCTGGCGTTGCTATTAACTGACCCCATGCTCTGCTTTAATCTATACGTTAGTCACAGCACTTCACTGAAAAGATGTGCAAATGCCACTTTAAAGTCAAGCAAGTAGAGATGAACTGTGACTCAGAGATCTGAGCAGCAGTGACCATGCCCCTGACGCTCTCAGCCTTCAAGGTCAGGGTGGGTTGTTTTTTAGCTCACTGAGCACATCAGCACCCACAGGGGAGCCCACTGGTCTCAGGGTCGTAAGTGACAGGAGCATGCTGTAGAACCCACACCTCTTCTGGTGCCCCTCACCTGCTGTTCAGCCATCCAGTGTTCAAGTGGTACTTGGAAATTAAGTCAGCAGAGTATTGAGTCAGTTGTTTTCCCTCTTCCCCCTCTCTTCTGCATGGAAAAGATTTAGCAGAATATTTACCAGTGCGAAAAGCAGGATTGTGGTTTTCCTCTGCCCTAAGCAGAAACATCCATTGCAGCGTCCTTTGCTCACCCAGCCATCCCCTCTCCTGCTTTATCCTACTCCAAGCTCCCTTCGTTTTCTGTCAAGGCCTTAAAGATGCTACAAATGTTCCGTTGTTTTGAAAATGACTGCTTTCATCTGACCGGTAAATCTGAAGACTCTGAGAATGGGGTTAGGGCTGAAGCAGGAGGATAGTCAAAAGTTCAAGGCCAACCTGAGCTAGATAGTGAGTCCAGGCTAGCTGCATAGAAAGAGCCTGCCTCAGAAAAAATAAAATAATGTAAAATAAAGTCAAACTAGTAAATAGAATAGCAAACGCGGAAGATTTCCATGTAGGCGCCGGTTCTGTTTCGGTGACTCTACTTTGACAGCAAGCCAGTATGAGAGACCGTAAACACTTTGGACTCCTTAATCTGATAAGTCCTCCAGCTACCATTTGTAATCAGTGAATGTTACGGTCAGAGACAGAAAGGAAGTTAAGCAACAGTGTGTTCTTCAGATGAGGAAAGGGAAAGTACTGGACAGTTTATTGCAAGAACTCCATGCTCGGCGTGCGGTGACATACCCTTCCAGCTGGAGATTCTGAGCTGTCTTCTGTGAGGGCATGTCGAAACACAGGTGTGACTTGTGCGTAGAAGGGCTTGACATGGAAAGGACTTGCAAAGTCCTCTACCTACCACTTAAGAAACAGATCATCCTGCCCTGGAGACTGTATCTGGTTTATGAGCAGAGGCAGACTTCCTTCCACATACAGTGACCACAGAGCACAACGTCCTTCCACCCTCCCGCTCTGTCTAGGCTTCGCTTCACTGTCCTCCATCATCCTCTGTCATTGTCATCTGCTAAGCAGCTTGCGTTATTAGTGTGACTGGGCAAAGACCTTAATTATTGCATATTTCCACATCCTTGTGCCTCACGAATAAGTGTCTAGTGCACACCACTTTTTACAAAACAAACTCAATCACATCAACCAGGCCTCCTCTCCCAGAGCAAAACCTGACCTCAAGGTCTCTTAACAAAAGGAGTGAGTGTATTCAGAGCAGAGTGGAGCATTGTTCTAACCTTCTTCTCTTTGAAGTCTGTCACAGAGAGCTTCGCCAGCCTGGTTCACGGCTTGAAGGTGGACCACCTGACGGATGGTGTCATTCGGAGGAGCAAGAGGATGATTCTGGATTCTCTGGGTGTTGGTTTCCTGGGAACAGGCACAGAAGTGTTCCACAAAGTCACGCAATATAGTAAAGTAAGGAGTCCAAAGTTTTCTTTCAAGATGAAAACAAGCGTGCGCACAAGCGTGCTCCAGAGGTCTCTGCCTGTGTTCAGCTCACCCCACCCTTAGTCTGATTGCATTTGACGTATATAGCATTGCTCTGTGCATTTTTATGAGCCCTCTGCTTCATCCTATGATTTTTGAAGTCCGTTCCTACCCATTACGAATTCAGGCCCAGCACTGCTCACTGGTCATGTCTCACAACTATTTATTTGTATGACTAAAAGTACTTTTCAACCCCGAAATCTTATAAAACACTTAGCCATGGGCAGCTTCTCCATGCAAATATTCTCTAGAGAAAAGTCTGTTCAAGTGCTCTGAGCAGAAAGCAGGTACCTCAGCGGGAGGCAAAGCAGCCACTCTCAGTAGGGCTGACTTGCTGTAGACAGCTAATCTGCCCCCCATCGCATCTCCCACCCCCAGTATCTACCCCAAGACCAAGTAAGAGCGGATCCAGCCTCACCTGACTGGAGCTTCTAGATTGTGACTTGGGACTAAGCAGATTCATCTCATCTCCCTTACAAGCTAGGATGCCCCCTTAAGGGTTCGGTGCAGCCTGATGCCAGGATGCCTCAAGGATGAAGGATAACTCTTGAGATGTCAACTCTGTATTGTTGCCTTAACTGCTTTGCTTCTGTTCCAGATGTACAGTTCCAATACCTCCAGCACCGTTTGGGGTCGACCAGACTTCAGGCTCCCACCCACATATGCTGCTTTTGTGAACGGCGTCGCTGTAAGGATGTTCACAAGCCTTTTCTATAGTTAGACCATTGTAGCTTCAGAGGCAGGAATATTATTTACAATAATTTGAGGTTCAGCAATAATTGAGGCTCAGCAATCTGGCATGCCCTGTCCTTTCTCCTCATGTTCATGTTTCCACAATAAAATGGAACTTTTCCAACAAATTATAAAATAGAAAAAGTAGAAGGATCTAGATTTTAAAATACCAATAAGGTATTCTAATTCTGGACTTTGAATGGATATATCAAACTATATGATGTCTATGCAACCCAGGATCCAGACATAATGTCTTCTTGATGCTTCTGCTGTGGGCCCCAGTATCTTTCTGTACAGTAATGTTCTCTTCACTTAGTCATTTGGGTATTTATTCAGAAAAAAACAAAGACCACATAGTGTCTCTATTTTCTCAATGAAAATTTAGAACCTCTCATCTAGCAAATAATTTACGTGTTATTTTCTGTGTGTCAACGAAAGCCTACAAGACGTAATATAGATATAAACATGTTGGTATTCAAGAGATATACTAACTAATTTGTGGGAACAGCAGTTCAGAGTAACAGAATGAGACCCACTGGCTTGGCAATAAGAAACACCAGCCACATCAGATAGACATAAAAACTATGTGTAAATGAACTTCTGGTTATTACTGTTTCAGATATGGAAAAATAAATAACTAGAATGAAAAGGGGAAAAAACTTAGGGCATAAAATAACCATTTGAAAATACAGCTTAACAGCTAATGTAGGTTTGAGAGCTCTTTGCTGTTCTTGCAACTCTAATAAAACTTTTAAATTACTTCATGACAGAGACATAAAAATATATGGCCCAATGTATAATAAATGATACTAAACTTTTAGTGTGACTTGTTTAAAGGGTGAATGGAGAAGGCCAGAGCATCCTTGAGAGGGAGGATGTAGATCTCGCTAGAGCTGTGGTTTCCAGGGCAGGACTCAGTATCCTCCAGGAAGTCACTGGCTCCTGTCCATGGTCCTGTCTTCCTCTGTCTTCCCACAGTGAGGTTAGGAATCACAGCCAGTTAGTTAGCACTGGGCAGGGGCCTACCCTTTACCCAGAGAGACTCCATTGGGAAAAAACTAATTTTCCCTTTGCAAACAATGTCAAATTGTGTATCTTGCTTTACTTCTTTTTAAATTCTAGTTTGTTAGGGTTTTGCGTTTTTTTATTTACCTGTTTGTTTGCTAAGAGAGAGGGAGAAATGGCATGGAGTTGGGTGGGTTGGGAAGTGGGGAGGACCTGGGAGGAGTTGGGAGGAGGGAAACCATGATCAAAATATATTGTATGAATTTTTTTTTAAAAAAAATCACAGTCAATTTGTGGTGTGTAATTTCAGATAATGGAGCCCCTAACCTCTCAAGGTCATTGCTAAATTAAATCCTCAGGCCGTCCAAAAGCCAGGGCATTTAAGGGCATTTCTGAGGGGGGCTGTTTGTATCTGTTCATACAGGTTCACTCCATGGATTTTGATGACACATGGCACCCAGCCACCCACCCTTCCGGGGCAGTCCTGCCAGTCCTCACAGCTCTATCAGAAGCCCTGCCTCAGACTCCAAAATTTTCTGGCCTTGACCTGCTGCTGGCATTCAATGTTGGTATTGAAGTACAAGGACGGTTAATGCACTTCTCCAAGGAAGCCAAAGACATCCCAAAGAGGTACAGAGACAGTGCCCATCAAGGAGAGCCACACTGCCCTCTGTCTGTCAGTGACTGTGTAGAGCTGCCTGACTTAAAGGCTGGCTCTGGGACTGTTATCACCACTCCGAGAGAGACCATTTTCAGATGTATAGCATGCACTATGTCTATACAGAAAGATATGATTCGTAAATGATTGTGAAAACTTCCCTTGGGCTTGTAAAACCAAGCTAGCTACTAAGACCATGAGATAACTTATGCCACTCCAAGGTGAGAGAGGGTTTCCTGGTCAGTCTGAGGTTGGTTTCTCTGTGTTCTGCATCCAAACTGAGGGATGTCTTCAGCAATAGGATCTTACAATATGGTGACAATTGGTAATCAAGAGCAATAGCAGTAGCTTGCATTGTTTTGGGTCCCTTTGTGTTATTAAATAGAAACCTCAATGACAAGCAAGGGATACCCCCCTAGGAGTTGTTGGTCAGAGGGTCCACATATGAAAGATGATATTCAGTATTTAGCTTTCTGGGTCTGGGCTACCTCACTCAATTTAATATTCTCTACTTCCATCCATTTACCTACAGATTTCATGATTTTGTTTCTCTTTACAGCTGAGTAATACTCCATTTTCTATATGTACCACATTTTCCTTATCCAACCACCATCAGGTGAATCTCTTGCTTTTGCCTTTCAGGTTCCATCCTCCCTCTGTGGTGGGGACTTTGGGAAGTGCCGCTGCTGCATCCAAATATTTAGGACTCAGCTTGACAAAGTGTCGAGAGGCCCTAGCTATTGCTGTTTCTCATGCTGGGGCACCCATAGCAAACGCTGCCACTCAGACCAAGCCCCTTCACATCGGTAACGCAGCCAAGCACGGGATGGAAGCCACATTTCTAGCGATGCTGGGTCTCCAAGGAAACAAGCGCATCTTGGACCTGGGGTCAGGGTTTGGGGCCTTCTATGCCAACTACTCCCCCAAAGACCTTCCAAGCCTGGATTCTCACATCTGGCTGCTGGATGAGCAGGACGTGGCCTTCAAGAGCTTCCCAGCACATCTGGCTACGCACTGGGTGGCAGACGCCGCTGCAGCTGTGAGAAAGCACCTGGTGATTCCGGAAGGAGTCCTGCTTCCTACTGACCATATCGAGAGGATTGTGCTCAGGATCCCCGATGTCCAGTATGTAAACAGGCCCTTCCCAGACTCAGAGCATGAAGCTCGCCATTCCTTCCAGTACGTGGCTTGTGCCATGCTGCTCGATGGTAGCGTCACGGTTCCGTCCTTCTGCAGTGAGCAAATCAACAGGCCACAGGTGAGAGAGTTGCTCCAAAGAGTGGTTTTGGAACACCCTCCTGACAACCTGCCAAGCTTTAACACACTGTACTGTGAGATAAGCGTCACCCTGAAGGACGGAACCACCTTCACTGAGCGCTCGGATACCTTCTACGGTCACTGGAGGAAACCACTGAGCCAAGAGGACCTGCAGAAGAAGTTCCGAGCCAATGCCTCCAGGATGATGTCCAAGGACACGGTGGAGAGCCTTATAAAGGTGGTAGAAAGCCTCGAGGACCTGGACGACTGTTCCGTGTTGACCTCGCTTCTGAAAGGACCCTCTGTCCAAGAGGAGGACTCAAAACTACCCCACATGTTCTCCTTCCTTCACACAGTGTCTAGGCTTACCAATGTCTGAACAGTTTTGCACCAGAGGAGATTTAGTTGTTTGCTCTGCTGCTCCATTCGCCCAGCAATGAACAGAGCAGAGTAGAGATATGTGTCTTTGGAAGGAGTCTTGTCCTATAGTCTTGAGAGACCATTTCCACTACCTTCCAGATAACATTCTAGAAACAAACAACACAAGATCTTATGTGTATTCACAAGGGTAAAGTCTGAGTCCTCTGCCATCTGCTTATTATCTCTCCTGAGTAATTATCTGTTAACTCTGGGAACTTCACAGATGTGGAGGGAATTGAACTGGCATGGTGCTGGCTGCAGGTGGAGCAAGCTCTCTGGTCTGGGCCACCGCCTGCCCAGACAGGATAGGTACTGCCAAACCCTTCCTGCAATGGCTGGTTTGAGTGATCAGCAGGTCTAATATTGCCTCTTTTTCTTTCCACTTGTAATCCTGAATTTGTAGCCAAGAATTCCTCTGCTCCAACCCTCTACTAAAGAGATAAAGACAGTCTGATATGGGGCAGGGAAGTAGTCTGGCTTAGGACCCCCAGTTTCACTCTGTTAGCTCTGAAAATTATTTTGAGAAAATTTGACAGGAAAAAGTCATAGATACAATAAAAATGAAAAGGGGAAAGATGTTGATGTGTGAGTAATGAAAATATTAACTATACAACATAGAGATGCCACACTAGCAATTATGGTGAGTGTGCTCTGAATTCCAGGTGTTCAAAGAAAGAATGGGGCTCTTAGCTTCAGATGTTGATTTGCAAGCATCTGTGTGGAAATGTGTTGGGTAGCTGAGAACTTCAGCAGAATACGTCACTCCCCAGTTCATAGGAGGAGAAAAACATAATTGGAAAAATGAGAATCCAAGGGAGGGAAAAAAGAAGGGGAAAATAAATACAAAAAAAAACCCAGGATGTTTGAAAATCACCATATAAAATGATAGAATTTCGAGTTTTATCTACAATTCAAATAAAAAGGTAACAATAAATGTTCCAGCTACTCAAAAACAAAACTGTTAGAACATGGCTTCATTTAAAAAAAAATGCTTAGCACTTTTATTGATGTTTTATTAATCACCCACTTGAAGTACTTAGTAAATTTCTGCTATCGCTGCCATAACTGAGTTTTGGAATACTACCATTACCACTAAAAAAATTCCTTCACATGTATTTGACATAAAGCCCCATGCCTACCTCCCATATTTAGCCCAATATGAGCTTTTAAAATATGGTTTTGTCTTTTCAGCACGTCTCATACAGACAGAGTCCTGTGGTATTTGGTCACGTGTGCTTGGCTTCTGCTAACCTAGTTAAGTGGTTTGAAGCATCTTCCACTTGCTGATCAGTTCTTTATGCCCGTCCTTGCTGGTGTCTTTATAAGGCCTATGGTAGCTTGTGCTTGGAAACCTAGAATCTTCAAGGAAGATGGATAAATGCAAGCCTATCGCTTAAGAATTAACACACCACGGTGAGGACTTAGTACATGCCAAGGGATGTCCCTAGTACAGGTGGAAAGACAATCAATGAAACAGGTCTAACCTGTCCTCATGAGCTAGCGATCTAGTATGACTGGACAAGGAACCCCCTTAGTGCCCATTCTGGTCAGGCTCCACTTCCTGGTTTCCTGTCCAGATGTGTTTGCCAATTTCCAAGGACTGAGCTGTGTTCAGGGTTCAAACTAGGAGAGCCTTCCCTAACACAATTAAAAACAGTAATCCCTGGGCTGTGATACAACCTGGGAAACCTTGGGAATGTGGCTTCCATTTCAACTCAGGCAGGATCCAGAATAGAGCAAGGCTAGGGGGACTCAGAGTAGGGAAAAAGTCAACATCCTTCCAGGGGATGTTGCAAGTGTATGTGGCCTGTGTGGCGTCCTTTCCCGCCCACAGAAACCCACCCACAACTGCTTGTGTTGGAAAATGTTTTGTTCATCCTGTCTTCAGTCGTTGGAAGATGAGAGAATAGAGGGTAGTTGGTGACTCTCTGGACAAAGTCCTTGCAGTAGAACCTGAGGGTGTTTTTTGTTCATAACTTCAGCGTCCGCAGAGAAAGCCAGGCATGCTGGCCTGCACCTGTAATCCCAGTCCTGCATAGACAGAGTGCGGAGGATCATGGGAGCTCACAGGCCAGCCAGTTTAACCAAATCAGTGAGCTGTAGGTTCAGTGAAACTGTCCTGTCTCAGAAATAAGGTGGAGAATAATAGAGAAGGCCAACATCAACCCCTGACCTCCACACACTTACACATGCTCATATGACACATACATAGACAGATGGAAGGAAGGAAAGAGGGGAGAGAGGGAGGGAGGGAGGGAGGGAGAGATGAAATAAAGAAAGAAAGAAAGAAAGAAAGAAGCACATTAACAGTTGACAGAAAGTAAAAATTCAATATATTTCCAAAGCAGTTGGGCTCTTTACAAGATTTAATCAACAATACAAATTCTGAAAGCACAAGCTCGGCTATCCATGGCAACAAGATGCTAAATAGTTCAAGTTTGGTACAAAGTAAAACTACATTCTTAAAAAGAATTTAAGATAACTTCATATCTTGTAAAAACAAAGAACTATATTTATGTGCTAGAATAAAAATATCTTTGAAGATTAATTCTTAGGTTTACGAGATATGCTGTCCTATATATAAAATCAGGAATCTAGGCATCTGGCCCGCAGAGTAGCAGTCTTTGCAAAGTTTGCTCAGATCAACCCAATGCAATGAACAGAAATCCTCAAAAATTTTCTGTAACAAGAAATTTCACTGGGTTCTCCTCATCCCACCTCTCTCCAGCTTTGTGAGATTTAACATTGTATTTTAACCATAGTGCATAAGAAGACTTCAACGACAGTGTCCCATGGCGACAGTGTCCCATGGCGACAGTGTCCCATGGCGACAGTGTCCCATGGCGCCTCCTATTTTCCTTTTCCTTAAGAATCCCTCTTGGAATGTAGTCTCACTTCCCCATGCAGAGAGCAGCAAAGGAGACTGAAGCCTCTGTCACTGCCTTGGCAGCTCCAGGCTAGTGCTGAAAGCAAGGAGTTCTCTGCAGAGTCACCGGTATTGAGACCGCGTCCAAAGTTCAAGGAAGCTGGAGTCTGGCGCCAGCAGAGGATGGCGATAGCAGCAACCGACATACCCCTTCACTCAGGTAAAGGGAAGGTAGGCAGGGCACCCTGCTTTTTCCTCCCATCTTGGACTGCCCCACCTAGGGGATCTCCTCTGGAAATGCCCTCACAAAGGTTTGTCTCCCAGAGGATTTTAAAGTTTACAAAACCAACCACCCCATAATGAGTTCCAATTCTCATTATGGGATATATTCAGAGTGTCTTCACATTGTAAGAACGAGACTCTAAATTAATTTTAAAATTCCTCATTTTGGGGGGAAAATGTTTAACTACAAGACTAGGTGTAAGCAGCACACACCTTTAATCCCAGCACTTGAGAGGCAGTGGCAGGTGGATCTCCGTGAGTTCAAGGCCAGCCTGGTCTACACGGTAAATCCTGGGCCGTCCAGTGCTATGTGATAAGATCCTGCCTCCAGTAAAGAGAATAAGTGAATAAACAAGTGGAAAAATCTGAAACACATAACCCTTTTATCTGAGGAAATGACATCACTGATCAAGAAGTGATTCTTGTGCTAAAAGGGAAAATGCAAACTCTCTGTGTGATTTCCAAAGCCTGAAGGCTTCAAAGTGTGGCCTTCATCTCGCCACCACTTGTCACCACGTACATGGCAGCATGCATCCTCGGAAGCTGGCTTTGGAAACCAGGAGAAACCAGGGGTCTACAGAATGGAGCACTAGGGGATCGGAAAGCATTAATGTTGCCTTCCATCCGAGAGTTGACTGGTCTCAGGTGTGGCCCAGGTGCCACACGTTTTTAAAGGGTCCCAATTGGTTCTCAAGTGCAGCAAAGTCTAAGCAACAAACAGAGCTGGGCTGGGCATGCAGCACTTTCCATAAGACGGTTTCAAGATTAGTGAGCGTCGATTAGAAGGAATATTTCACCTCACCGCTTTAGGCTAACTCACCAGGTATAACAACAACATCAGCAAGCACAGTGAAGTTAAAGACTGCCACATCGTGTCCCTGCATCCCCACGGGCTCTCTTGACACTTTCCTCCCACACATGTCTCTCCCTCTCTCTCTCTCTTTTTTTAATTTTAATTTTTAAAGATTAATAATTAATTATTAATTAATAAATAATTATTAATAATTAATAAATAAAGTTATTTATTATGTACACAGTACAATGATTCTCTAGCTTGGAAGATGACTTGGCAGTTAAGAACTTACTGCAAGCATGGAGACCAGATTTCAGATGCCCAGAAACTTACGTAAATGTCAAGTGAGTGAGCATGGCAGCCTACCTGTAATCCCTGCCCCAAAATGGGGAAACGGGGTCCTGTTGGCAAGGCAGCTAACAATATAGCCATATGGGCAAGCTCTAGGTTTGATTGACAGACTCTCCTAAGAGAGCCTCTCTGCTGGTGCAAGGAATTCCAATCAGCCAGAGTAATCCAAATTAAATGCCCGTGTTTTATAGATGGCGGTCCAGGGTAGCCAGGAGCAAGGCAGAAGGAAGACAGAGGGAGCACAAACCCAAAACCCAAAACCCAAAACCACGTGTTCCTTTGTTGGGGCACAAGCCTAAATACCCAGTGGGAGGGGTCAGCGCTTGGCAGGCTGGGAGTTGGAGTCCAAGCACTTGGCAGGCTGGGATGACTCTTCCAACTCAGTATTACTTCTATCTTAATAAATAAGATGGAAGAGCCACTGAAGATGATTGCTGATATCAACTTTGGGCCTTGATATACATGGACACGTATATGTATGCAAAGAAATCATGGAATTTATTCCAAATCAGTAATTCAGCACACAGAAAAGAACTGAACATGTTAACATGTGCAGGTCTCCTGGATCCCTTAGGAAGTTCTGAAGCAATGACTGCATTTTAATCAACAGCAAATAAGCTCGTACTTCCTACTTCCTCTAGACCTTAATTGGGGCTCAGAGCTGCAG